GACCCCCTCGCCTACCTCGCGCCCCTCCTCCAGCAGCAGCCACTCGGCGTCCATCCCCACCCGCCGCAGGCACCAGCTCCGGACACCCGCGGGGTCTCCTGAGTCCAAAGAACCGGGCTCCCCCATGGCCCCTCGGCCCGGGTGACGGTCAGTCAGCAGCGAGCGAGCCGCCGAACCGAGGTCCGGCAGTCCTGGAGATCACTCGCCCACCGCCCCATAGCTAAACAACAGACAGAAGCAATCGCCACCCGCGCGTCGATGCGAGCGGAGCGCCGCTCGACCCGGGGTGAGGCACTGCGCCTGCGCGACAGGAAAACCGCGGCGGGCGGAGCGCGGAATAAAGACGGTGGGCGTGGCCTGAAATTCCTGCTCGCGGGCCACACCTTACCCGCCGCGCTCTCACTCACCGAAAAGTCTCGGCGACCACCAATGGAAGCTCCGTGGTTCTTTTTATTTTCTTTTTTTTTTTTTTTGAGACAGGGTCTCGCTATGCAGTTCAGGCTGGCCTTGAGCTCACTTTGTAGCTCAGGCTGGTCTCGAACTCACAATGATCCTCCTGCCTCAGCCTCCCGAGTGCTGGAGTGCCCCACCATGCCCACCTCTCTTTTCTTCTTTTTCTACTCTCCTTTCTTTCTTTGCTCCCTACCTCCTTCCCTTCTTTCTTTCTTCATTCTGGGGATTGAAGCCAGGGCCTTCAGCCTGAGCTACATCCACAACTTATTTTTTTATTGTGAGGCAGGGTCTCGCAAAGTCATTAAATGGCCCAGGCTGAGCTCAAATATATAATCCTGCCTCAGGTTCCCACAGTGCTGGGGTCACCAGCGTGGGCTACCACACCTGGCTTCCTCTTTTAAATTTTGTGTTATGGACATGTCATAATAAGATGTAGCCTACTTCTTTCTCTCTTACGTTTTATTTTTATTTTATTTTTTTTTGAGACAAGGTCTATGTAGTTCAGGCTGGCCTTGAACTCACTATGTAGTCCAGGCTGGACAGCAGTCCTGCCTCAGCCTCCCCAGTGCTGGGATTACAGGCGTGCGCCACTACACCCACCTCAGCCTACTTTTGAAAAACTAAACTTGTGATAATTTTCAAGTCTGTTTAGTTAGTTCCTAGGTAACATCTGTTTTGCACAAACTGCTTTTGTTGCTAAATGTTAAGAAGTTATAGTAACCAAATCTATAGAGATAGAAAGCACAGTTGCCTGGAGCTAGCGGTGGGAATGGGGACCGAATGTCAAACGGCATGAAGGAATTTGTGGGGAGGATGACAGAAATGTTCTAAAAGTAGATTGTGGTGACAGGGTTTTATTAACCCCTGTAAACTTAGTAAAAGTCACTGAAATGTATGCTTCCAAAAAGTGAAATTTGTGACATGTAAATTATCCTTAATAAAGCTGTTATTTTAAAAAATTAAAAAGATCCAATAAAATAAAATGCTTAAAAAAAGCTCAACTTTTTTGTAGTCTCCAGTATAATGTGTGATAGCTTCTTCACATAATGATTATCTCTGATAGCTCAATGCTGACTTTTGACTTTTTTGGTTTTCTAATACCTGGTTAACAATTTTCTGAAACTGAATTCTGTCAAGAGAAAATATAGTATGTACTAAATCAATCATCTGATGTATACTAATAAATGGCTAAGTGCTAGACACTAGGCCAACTTACTAGCTTATGTGTTCTTCATGAACAATAATGATGATTAAAATTACAATTCCTACTGTAGGGCTTATATCTAGATGTCCCCCCAAAGCCTGTCCTCGTAGGTGTCTGGATTTAGGGTGTGTGGTATTGGATTAGTTCACTAACTGGTTTAGCACAGTTCTGGGTGTGGCTAATAGGAAGGCCTGCCCTGAGGATGCTGTACCCTGGATGGGATAAAAGGGAGGCTTGTTGCTGCTTCAGCTTGGCTGCCTCCTGCCTACCCTGCCATGGACTGTTTCCCCTCTGGTACATCCTCTGCCATGCTGCCCTGCCTTGGAGCCTGCCAACTGTGGGCCGAAACCTCTGCAAACTGAACCAAAATAAACATTTCCTCCTTTAACTTTGGGTGTTGGGTATTTTGTCTCTGCAATGAGAAATGGAAGACAATGAGAAAAGAGGCGTGGGAAAGTTGAAGAATCTTCCGAAAGTAACACATGATAAAAGTAGGATGTCCATTTGGGTCAGTTTCCAAAGCTAATTTCCTACACACGGCTGCGACCCCAGCCTGGGATGTCTAACCTGTGTGGCCTCGTTGCCGGAGACCCCACAGAGGGTCAGGAAAATTGGTGGGCATCAGGGTGGCAGTCAGGGCAAAGCCTTCCCCAGCTGTGCGTGGGTCCCAGCTCAGCACCTACCCCAGGGACCACTGGTGTGCAGAGGCCACGTGTGCCGCCGAAGTGAGCACGGAGGCCACGCATGCATTTAATCTCCTTAGGCTCCTCTTCGCCGTGGCAGATCCTCAGACTGTCCTTGTTTTTGATGAGCTTGGCAATGCCCAGGTATTTTGTAGAATGCCCCTCAGGCTGTCTGATGCCTTTCTCTGGATTTGAGGACTGGTCACTGGATGATGTGGTGCCGGTCAGGTTCCCCCACTATAAACTTGCTCTGTTTTCTCCTCTTGCATAGGATTCTTCAGAAGAAGTCATATTGGAAACTTGTGCTTACGGAGCGGGGGTTTGGTCCACTTCCAGAGAATCGGGGTAGCTACATAAACTATTTGGAATTCTGCACAGGAGGTTGGTCTCTCTCTGCTCTTTGTTTATTGGATCACTTATATCAGTGGAGATCCATAGATATTTGTTTTATACTCTGGGGTATAATTCAACACTGATTTATTTTGTTACTCACACCATTCCTAATCTGGCCAGTGAGAGCTCTTTCGGTTGGCGATGGTACCCCTTCCACACTGTCCCATCCTGTTTTATCGAGCATTAGCTCACTGTCTGGCACAAACTTCCCTGGATCCAGCATCAGGAATTATTTCCAAGGAGTCCTGGCTCCTTTTATTGCTGAGGCCCTGGGTTCAAATCCTAACATTTTAAAATAAATAAATAAATAAACTTATGAGTTTTTGATAAATGCATAAGGTTGCCATGTATATACCATTATAGTATCATGGAGGTCTGTAATGGTGTCTACACCACCCTAAAAAATTCCTCCAGATCTGGGTGTGGTGGTGCGCACCCACTTAATTCTAGAAGTCGGGAGGCTGAGGCAAAAGGATTGCAAGTTAGCAGTCAACCTGAGCTACTCAGTAAGTTCAAGGCCAGCCTGGACTACATAAGAAGATGCTCCCTGTTTCAAAAGAAAAAATCTCTCGGCTTCATCTATCCAGTGCAGCCCCACGCCTGCCTGCATCCCTTATTTTATGAAACACTATATCCTGAGGGTACTCCACAGCAGTATGCACAGATCATGTATTCTTCCACAGTGCAGCCATAGCATTGTTTACTCCGCCAGTCGCTTATGGATACGTGGTAGGGTTTTTTCCATCTTTGCTGTCACAAGCCAGGCATGGTGGTACATGCCTGTAGTCCCAGCACTCAGGAGGCTGAGGCAGGAGGATCGCTGAGAGTTTGAGGCCAGCTGGGGCTACATGGTGAGTTCAAGGCCAACCTGAACTACATGAGACCCTGTCTCAAACCTCACCACCAAAAAAGCCACCTTTGCTATCACAAATAGCCCTGAAATGAGGTGTCACATAGGGTACTGATTACATGATTTTTTTTTTTTTTTGTAAATAACCTTATTTAACCCTCACTGCTATCCCACAAGACTCTCTCATTTTACCTATGACGCAGCTGAGACTACAATGTCCCCAAGGTCTCTGTGGACCTGCTGAGGGTTGCATCTTGTTTTCTGCTGTATTCATGACATTTCATTGATGAATGAACAAAACGGAACTAGCAAACAGCAGTGCGGGGAGGCTGAAGGCCAAGTGGTGATCCTGGGTCGTGCGGGCCACAGGCTGCATTCCCTACCATCTAGCAGGAGGAACAGCTGTTCTCAGGGGTGCACAAAATCCCCAATTTTTTTTATGCAAAGCACATATCAGGATGTTTCATTAGATTTTTATCCCATCTTTCAAGTAGCTTGGGGCAAAGCCCCTGGGTTCAATCTCCAGTACCACCAAAAAATCCCCTTTTGTTTTTGTTTTTTGTTGTTTGTTTTGTTTTGTTTTGTTTTTTGCGGTACTGGGGATTGAACTCACGACCTTGTGCTTGCCAGGCAGGCACTTATGCCATTGAGCTATATCCCCAGCCCCCCTTTTCTGAATATTTTATAATTTATATAAAAGAACCACAGAGAGTACTTATATTTTATGTGAATAAGTAAGTATGCATATATTGGACTGCATGTTCAAATATGGTTTTAAGACTGTATGTCCTTTTTTTTTTTTTTTTTTTGGTACTGTGAATTGAACTCAGGACCTTGTGCTTGCCAGGCAGGTGCTGCACTGCTGAGCTAGATCTCCAGCCCAAGACTGTATGCTCTAAACAGTGTGAAGATCACTGGTGCTCAGATTTCAGGATTTTATTAACCCTTCCTCCTGTATGTATTCCCTAATGACAGTGGTTTCCACTCAGAGGTGATTTTGCACCCTAAAGGACATTGGCAATGTCTGGGACATGACTGGGGTAGGAGTGCTACTGGCATCTGAGGAATAGAAGCCAGGGGTCTGCTAAAGAGCCTACAAATCACAACCAGCCCCCATCAAGAGTAACCTCGTCCAAAATGGCAATAATGCTGAGGTTGAGAAACCCTGTCATGTCCGTCTCAAGAGGGAGAAAAAAAAGCCGGGTGTACTGGTGCATGTCTGTAATCACAGGAGGCTGAGGCAGGAGGATCTCAAGTCCAAGGCCAGCTTGAGCTACACAGTGAGACTGTCTCGAAACAAAAACAAAAAAAGAGGGAAAATGGGGGAGAAAGAGCAGAATGCAGAAAAACAGAGTGCTGTCTGTGTCTGCGGAGCCAGCACCTGTCGCATTACACACCCTCTATACGGGCCATTAACGTGCCTTGGACAGAACTGGGTGATGGCAGAAAGAGCAGATTGGGAAGATCTGGGGAGTGGGGAAGGAGATGCCAAGAAGGGGTGAGGCACAGGGGAAGAAGAAAGGGAAAGAGAGGGGAGGAGTCCAGAGAGGAAGCGCGGGGCTTACACTCTCGAGAGATTACAAGATCCCTCTCGCTCCGTGATGGGACCGTGCCACACGTCGCCCTGCAGGGTGGAGCCACCTTCCCCCTGGCATCTGGGTGGCCATGTGACTCCACCTGCAAAGGACAGCTTCCACGGGGACTGGGCGGGACGCTCCTTCCTGGAACCCAGTCACGACGAGGAAGTGGACACCGGGGCATCGGAAGAGGCTGCCACAGCCCCAGTGAAGGTTCCAGCTGACATCCAGCGTCCGCTCCAAGGCACGGGCACGCAGGCGACACCGGCCCTGGACAGCAGGTCAGCCCAGACTGGAGTCTTCCCCGCTGAGGCCCCCGACACCGTGGGGCTGAGCGAAGCGCAGGACTTCTGAGCATAATCCAGCGGCTGCAGAGCAAGGCGGACCTGGGAAGGCGCTGGGAACACACCGGGGCATCTGGGATGTTGCTGCTCGTGTCCTGGCCGTACAGTTGGGGTGGTAATAGCTGCTGTGACGCATAAACCCCCAATTTCTGTGGTGTAAGACAATAGTTTACCTCTTACAGTGAGCTGTCCCTTGGTGCCTGTCGGGGGCCTGGCTCGGGACCCCCGTGGATGCAACTAACAGTTCACGCCTGCTCAAGACCTCCGTATGCAGTGGTAGAGAATTTGCATATAACCTGCGCAATCTCTTCATGTGTTCCATTCATCCCAAACTGTGTGTAACGCCTAGCGCAGTGCAAGTTCTATGCAGACAGCTGTTGCACTCTATTGCTCAGGACAATGACCGGGAAAAGCCCTCTGCAGTGCGCGGTACAGATGCAATTGGTTCCGAGCACTTTCCATCGGTGGCCGGAGGACGCCACAGCGGGAGCCATGGGTGTGGAGGGCTGGCCGGATTGGCCCGCTGCGGAGTTGCCGGGTGGTGGGCAGCCTCCCGTGAAGCCACTCAAGCCACTCCAGCCACTTTTATCCCGTGGCTTTGCTGTTCTCCGGGGCCTCTGGGAAGGGGAGCGGGAGTCCTGGCGGACTTCAGAGCTCAATCTAACAAAAGAAGAGGATCCCTCTCTCCCATTTTTCTGTCTCCACGGAGTAGAGGTGGAGGGGAGATGGGGGTAAACCCATGCGTTTTGTGCACGGAGCTCCAGGGTGAACCACAGGCTGCCGTGGGACGGGTTAGTGGCGTGGACTCTGGACTCGGGCTGCCTGAGCTCGGTGTGAGCTCTGGGGTCACTCGATACGAGGCTGTGAGCAGGGTTCTTGACTGCTCCAAGCCTCGGCTGGCTAACTCTCGTACGACAGCGGTGCTGGTGCCCAGGAAGCCACCGAGATGAGCCCTCTGCTACCCCAGTGCACTCCATGACCTCTCTCTCATCCGAGGGACACAAGACGCCTCCCCCCTTTTCGTAACAATATAAAATAGAAATCCCTCCTGTCAGTTTTAGCCTTTTTATAACCGATGTCCCAGCAACACGGACTTTGCAAAGAACGACAGACCCCGGTGAGCAAGGGTCGGCCCGCTGGGGGCGCAGCTCTGGCACTGAGGTGAGCCGTGGTTCCCGGGTGAGGGCCGGCGAGGGAGGCACTGAGCCTGCTTCACCGTCTGGGAAGCCGGGCGGAAAGGAAGGGATCTGGACGCCGCTTCTTGAGCAAACCCCTCTGTTTCTCCTCAGGATTCTCTCACCTCAGGTCCTAAGCCAGCTTCTCTCTGCAGGGTTGCATTTTGGCTTCCAGGACCAGGGAGAGAGGACATTATGCAGATGGGCACCAGGCCTTGCTGTGTAGGGGTGGGGTGGGGTCGTGCCTATGGGAGTGGAAAGGCCAGATGGGACGATCGGGGCTGATTGTGCTGGTGGGCTGGGGCTGAGGGCTCCCTGTTCTAGGGATTGAACCTGGGAGCTCCACCACACAGCTACATCCCCAGTCTCTTTTAGTTTTTTCAGATAGTCTCACTGAGTTGCCCAAGCCAGTCTCAAACTTGCCATCCTCCTGCCTCAGCCTCCAAAGCAGCTGAGATTACAGCTACTTTTAAAAAAAAAACAAACTTGATTCTCCTAATGACTCTTCCTCCTCACCCTCAAAGTGTAAGACCCTATGTTAGCTATTTCTTTTTTTTTTTTTTTTTTTTTTTTTTTTTTTTTTTCTCCGGTACCGGGAACGGAACTCACGACCTTGCGCTTGCCAGGCAGGCGCTTTTGCCGCTGAGCTAAATCCCCAGCCCCCAAGACCCTATGTTAAAGGGATCAGGGAACGATGTCTTTATTTTTAAGATGAAAATGTTTTAAGAAAACCAGAAGTTGGGGCTGGGGATTTAGCTCAGCTGCACAGCGCCTGCCTGACAAGCGTGAGGTCGTGAATTCGATTCCCAGTACCAGAAAAACACAAAACAGAAGTAGACAAGCAAGGAAAAAGGGGCCATCTGTTTTGGACAACTTGTGTATTAAACGCTGTTTTATGTAAACACGGGGCTTTGAGCACAGAGCTGTAAGGTATTTCTGACGCACTGAATCAAGTTTATTGCATTACGGAAGCACCTTCTTGAGTCGCCAGGTTTATTATGCTCTGGAGGTGTCTGTGATTGGTAATTAAGGAGGACATTTTGCAAGTGCTTAAAAGCAGAATTGCAGGTGGCCACCTCGGCCCTTTTCAGCCTGGGCTGTGGCTGTTTAAGCATCCACACCCTTCAGCTTTGCCAGGGATGAGTGTCCAGCGCACCTTTGGCAAGCTGAAGGTATTTATCACCCGCCTGATTTATTAAGCGGGGGTGGGGGTGGGGTGGGGGTGGAAAGAAAGGCGGAAGCTGGCAGGGGGGTAGGGGGCATCGGTGAGGCTTGGCGTCAGGAACAAGCCTTGCTTTCCTCTCCCGGCAGAACTGGCTCCAGGTTATTTATGTCTCAAGTAACACACAGTATAAAGTGCCCAGTGTAAAACTTAGGCATGGCATGATTTATAACCAAATCATATCACTCTGAGCTGGAGATTATTGGACTATAAAAAACCCCCACAAATCTTCTTAATTCCATCTGCTTTTGTCCACAGTAGGGGAAGCACAGGAGCCAGGGTGGGGTGATTCTCAGGGGGCGATCTTGAGTTCTTTTTTTTTTTCTTGGTTTTTCTCCAGTACCGGGAACTGAACTCACGACCTTGCGCTTGCCAGGCAGGCGCTTTTGCCGCTGAACTAAATCCCCAGCCCCCGATCTTGAGTTCTGAAACCTAAGGTTATGATGCAATTCTCTCTTACTTCCCCGGCTGGACTAGAACCTGGGACCTCCACACAGCAGGCGGTGTCCTACCACAGAGCTGCATCCCCAGCCCGTGCCACGCTCTCAGCGCTCACAGAGGTACTGTGCCATCAGCGCTGGTACAGTACCTGTCACCCAGGACTTGTTGGAATGTGATTAAGTTTATCACAGCTAGGAATGAATGGCCTGCTGACCTCAGTCTTCAGCAATTGCAATTTTCAAATTGAGAATAACTCTGAATGATGAGTTTTAGCTAACATTTAAAAAACAAAGGGATGCAATAGAATAGGTTACACACAGTAAGAGCAATGAATCATGTGTGCACATGTGTACGCGTGTGTACTGGCATTCCGGGGAAGGGGTCAGGAGTTGGTGCACTTTAGAGATATTTTCAAGATTGGTGAAAGACAAAAGAATTCCAGATTTAAGAAGTTCAGTGAGGCCGGGTGTGGAGTTCAGTGAGGCTGAGGCAGGAGGATCGTCTTGAGTTCAAGGCCAGCTGGGCTACATGGTGAGTTCAATGCCAGCCTGGACTGCCCAGCAAAATCCAGTTTCAACAAACCAAAAACAACAAGAGTAGCTCAGGTGAGGACTGGGGATGCAGCTCAGTGGTACTGTAATCACAAACATATAAGAGGCCCTGAATTCAATCCTCAGAGAGCGAGACAGAGAGAGAGAGAGACAGGGAGACAGAGACAGAAAGAGACAGACACAGCGACAGACAGGCAGACGGAACCCCAAACTAATCAGTGCATCTATCTATATAGAAAAAATTGAGCAAAGAAAAAACCACCAACTCAATTTCTCTGATACTCTCAATCAACACAGATAATTTTTCTCTTTCTTTTTAGCCAAAGTCTCCCTATGTAGTTCAGGCTGGCCTTGAGTCACTATACAACCCAAACTAGCCTCGAACTCCTAGCAATCCTCCTGCCTCGGCCTCTGAGTGCTGGGATGACAGACGTGTGCCACCACTCCCAGCCTCAACATAGATCACTTTGGACACCAGACATGTGTGGGTTTTTCCCCACTCCGAGCCAGCAAGCAATTTGACAGGGGCACTGGCTGGTGTCCTCTAATGCCACTCAGTTCTGAAGCCATCAGAATATGGAGGTAACATCAGATCCCCTAGGTAGTGAGCTCAGTCCCCAAAACTGTCACCCCTACCTCCCAGGGGCCACCCACCAGGAGCCCCTGGTGCCTCAGACTGTGCGGCAGACAGAATGACTGTAAACTCAGGCTCCCATGCCTTCTCCTTGGGGACAACTAATGTGTTTTTGTTTGTTTTTGGTACCGGGAATTGAAGTCTGTACCTTGCGCTTGCCAGGCAGGTGCTTATGCCACTGAGCTATATCCTGGCCCCAACTAACGTGTTTGAGCAGCTCACAGAAGCCAGGACGAGAGTCACTTACGCTTGCAGGTCCGTTATGAAGCCTTCTCCTTCCTGCAAGGATCCCATTTCCGCCTTTGCTGACAGGGGCAGGCGTCGTTCTGTCACCTTGGTGGGCAAGCTGCGGCTCCCCAGACAGGTTGGTTCAGTTCACAAGATCCTGTCCTGGTGATGCCAGACACAATGCCCTGCTTCTGTGTTTCTTGTTTTTTTTTGTTTTTTTTTTTTTGTTTTTTTTTTACCATGACCAGACAGTCACTTCCTCGGTATCCACCGCAGCTTCCAGAGCATTCTTCAAGCAGGAAAACCTCAGTTCCGGCCTCCACAGCCATCGTGATGCGCGGAGTCCAAGCCAAGCTATGCGCTGTCAATGGAGGCTCCTTCTTCTAGACACAAATGAGGTCGCTGTCCCTCTGTGCCCCCTCCCTCCGGGGGCTGGTTGAAAACAGAGCTAGGACCTATCTCAATAGCACGCTAGGGATTCGGATGGCCGGATGGCAGAAATGCCCAATAAACTGCAAGTCAGAGCATATCACGATCGGCTCAGAAGGTTTCATCATTTTCAAGTCATGCTCCAATGGATTGGAGAAGATGCTCGATCTTCTGTGTAAATGAAAAGCAGCATTTTAAAATAAAGACTAGCTCGGTCCTTCTCAGCCAGCGGAAGAATTAATGACCTTGGTCCAAATAGAATCCAGTAGAAAGCAGCGCCCAGGTTTTAAGACCGGAGTCACATTCTCACGTTAACTGCGAACAGTTTGAATTTCAGAGCCAGATCCCCTCCCTGTGCCGTGGGGCGGTCTGTCCCATCCCCATGGTCAAGCGTGTGCGTGCCGCAAGGGTGGGACCTAGGGCCTCTTGCACACTAAGCAAGCGCTCCCAGCCCCGGCGAATTCTCATGGTATCGATTACTACCCGAGTCCTGAACGTGTCTTCCCCTTCCTCTGTGCTGGCAGGATCTGGGTTTTTAGCAAGGCATACAGTTGCCTGGGCTACACAAAGCCCCCAGCCACCCTTGCAGCCAGGTGTGACTTGATGAGGCCGGAGTTCTGTCCTCTGAGTGGTGGGAGGAAATATCATGGGAAGGCTGCAGGAACCCACTTGAAGACGCGGCCGGCATGCTCCCCTTTCATTTTGCTTTGTCCGCTCTTTTATTTATCCTGTTGCTTGAAAGCAGACATAATGGCCCCTGGAGTCGAGCCTGCACTTAGTTCAGTGGTAAAGCACTTGCCTAGCATGCAGGAAGCCATGGGTGTGATCCCAAGCACACACAAACATATGAGGCAGCGGCGTGCGGGCCACCTTGACATGAAGGCCTGGGAGAGGGCTTTGCTTCCTAAGGACGCTGACACCAAGTCGTCACACCTGCCTCGGCCGCCCACTGCCGGTCTCCTGCGAGGGAGAAGCACACCTCGCCCTGTGTCACACTGGCTTTTGTTTCTGTCACATGTAGCTGAATTCAATGGAGACCGAACCCAAGAAACACTCTCAAATGAATCCTAGGACAGAGTTCTGGGGGGAGAAATAATTCCAATCTATCCTTGGTGGATGAAAATGCAGTCAAACTACTCTTCCTGTGCCACTTCACAGCACAGTGAAGAGAAAAACCAAGAGCGGACAGACCCAAAGACCTTAATGAGGACGCCCGAAGGTGGACCAGTGTCTAAGTTCTAAGTCACTAAGTTGTCAAGGATGGGCTCAAACTTGTGATCCTCCTGCCTCAGCCTCCTTAGTTCTGCAAGGTTGGAGGCAGACACGAACAGGTACGCCCCAGGGAGGCTTGTGTGCTACTAGCCCTGCTGCAGCCTTCCTCGGCCTTAGGGTGCGTTTCCTCTGTGACCAGGGCGGGTGTGAGACCAGCTGTCTCTGGGCTTTTGTCAGCACTGGAACACAAGCCCATCTTCTTCATCCTCCTCTGCACACTCAGAATGAGCCAGGCAAGGACCCCGTCGCCTCACCCTGGGCACGTGGAGGTGCGCCAAGGCTGTTGGCCACTAGGAACCACATGTGGACCCGGTCTGTGGTCTCCACACTTCCTTCCATGGAGCAGGAGCTCAGCGCCTGCTGAGATGTCCTCCAAGAAGGTTTGGCCTGCAGCCAACGCCGTGCTGGTCCTGCAGAAAGCCCGTCCCCACCCTCGGGAGCGTCAGAAACTGCACTCAACCCAACCCAAGAAGAGGAGACACCGTGGGTCCAGGTTCCGCAAGCCCACAGCCATGGGAGAAAAATCAGCAGGCGGAGGAGGAAATACACTATTTATTTACAGATGTTCACTTTATCCACAATTTCCCATACAAACATAAAAACTAAAAAAATAAAACCACCACTTGGGAACACAAGTGTCCATCTTTGTAGCCCGGCCGAGGCCAGGGCCACGAGCTGTGGAGGGGAAGGTGCAGGCGGGAGGGAGGGTAACGCACGTGGGCGGGGTGCAGGGGGTGCCCACGGGGACACTGTGGGCTCCCCAGGAGGGCGACAGCTGCGAGCCCCCATCCCCCACATCCCCCCAGACACCAACAATGGGACATGGGTCACATCGCGTGAGCTGCGCGGGGTGTGATGGTGACAGCAGAGGACACTTAATGCCACTGCCTGGGAGGAGCCCCAGGCCCCAGACCACGGGAACCCTGCCCTTGGCACTGACGAACTGGCCACAGCTTCTGGCCAAACGCACATCCACTCCAGGGGAAGGCAGCGGCTCTGCCGCGGGGTGGGCAGGAGGTGGGGGGCAACAGTGTCTGCGACCCTGGCCCCTGACGCTGGGACTCAGGCCAGAGGGGCGCCCAGAAACCAACCCGGCAGCTGCGCCTGCGCCAGGGACGTAGGCTGCATTCACCCGCGGATGCACCTTATAAATATAAACTCATATCTGCTACAAAGAGGACGTATATTTGTACAGCTTTACCCATATACATAATAACACAATTTACACATAATGTCTTGGAGTGGGTCATCGTGGAAAAAGGGTTTGGAGAGCTGCAAAGCCCCTTCTCCCTCCCCGCCCTAATCCTTCTCAAGGGACACTCGTCCGCGTGGTCACGCCAGGCCAGGCCAGTGTGGACGCGCACGCTGGGACCCGCGAGGGCCGACCACGCATGCGCACACAGGTACCGGGAGAGAACGGGGAGGTCTCTAGCCCTTGTGCCGGCGTCTTCCCCGGGCCGGGAGCGTGGGCCTCCCGCACCCGGAAGAGCAGGGTGGCCACGGCTGTCCCCGACAGCCGGCCGGGCTTCCGAAAACGTAAGGCATAGCTGACCTGGGCTCAGCAGAACTGAGTCACAAAAGCCAACTGGAGCAGAGCCTAATACCCCGATGCCTTCGGCATGGGAACCTTCTGTCGGTTTTTCCGGTTTAAAAGGAAAAAGAGAAAAAGAAAAAGGGGCCTGGCGGTAAGAGACAGCAGTTCATGGGGGACGATGGAAGTGGGGACGACCCTGTACCTCCTTATCCGTCCTCTCCCGGAGCTGGGCCCAGGCACACGGCGCGGAATACTGACAGGGGCCCGAGACGCGGCCACGGACATGAGTGGTGGCCGCCAGCTTCAGCGCGGGCGGCGGGGAGCTTTGTACAGCGGGAGGGAATCCTGGCGGGCCTGAGGCTCGTGGCGGCCGCAGCGCTCAGGTCACCCTCCTCCGAGACGGGGCGGCCGGGCCCCGGGGAGACAGCACCTATCGGCGGTAGTGATTGGGGGCGTCGGCAAACATGTACTTGAGTCTGTAGGCCTCGGCCAGCAGCAGCCCGATCTCCTCGTTGCCCCAGTGGATCGTAGGGAGGTTCTGCAGCAGCATCAGGAGGCCCTGGAACGAGAGAGGGCTGCCTTGCATCCGGACCGCAGGCTGCACAGGGCCAGAGACCCAGCGGGACGGCCAGTCCTCCTCCCAGACAGCTCACAGCTCCTGGCCCCGCTCACCGCGGCAGCTTGAAAAGCCTCTGCTGATTCTCTGATCCACTAACAGCTGCCTCTAAAAATACTACAGAGGGTGACAATGTATTTGCAAGAGAGGGAGACAGTCATCCCCCAACTATACTCCCCCAGACAGGGTTACACCACACAGCCCAGGCCGGCCTTGAACTCACCATCCTCCTGCCTCAGCCTCCTGAGTGCAGGGGTTACAGGTGTGCACCGCAGCACGGAGCCCTCTTACTCTAGAGGTATGCTTTTTGGCCTTTTTTCTACACATGTGTTTCTTTAAACAGTCAGAGCCATAACTATAATTGTAGATGCACTTTATTCACCGTGAAACCATCATTTTCACGTTTACCCTCTGCCTCCCACCGCTTACCCGGGAAGCCCCAGGTCCGTCAGGTGGCTTTAGCCATTTAACTTTCATTCTGTACCCCGTCTGCCCTGCTTCTTTCTAAGTCTGTCCTGGAAGGTGGCGGCATGCAGCTTTCTGCACGTGGACACCCTTCTCCTGGTCCTGCTGTGTCTGCCATCGCCAAGGCTGCTCTCGGCCCCCGTCCCCAGCGAAGACGCCTCACCCTGCCAGCGCCCCCTGGACCACACTAAACCACATCTCTGTGGTTTAATTTTTTTTTGTTTGTTTGTTTCTCTCCGGTACCAGGAACTGAACTCACGACTTTGCACTTGCCAGGCAGGCGCTTTGCCGCTGAGCTAAATCCCCAGCTCCTTGTGGTTTAATTTATGCTGAACACTTTCTCCTTTCTTCTCCATTTAGCTAAATCCTATTCAGCTTTCAGAGTCCAGGTCCCTCAAAAAGCTCCCTGAAGTTGGGCGTAGTGGCACACACCCGTCATCCCAGCACTTGGGAGGCTGAGGCAGGAGGATCACCATGAGTTCAAGGCCAGCCTGCGCTATTAAGTGAGTTCAAGGTCAGCCTGAACTACTGAGTGAGACCCTGTCTCAAACAACAAAAACAAAAAAGGCTCCCTGGAAACAGCCTATGAAGGAGGATATTACAATAAAAGCGAAGGTGAACATTCAGGTTTTCCCTGGAATTCAGTTTCCCAGCTGCTGCCGGTGCCTCATGTTCCTTCCTTTCTCTTTCTGAATTGGATATTCTTACTTCTCCATTTATAAAAACAATAGTTGTAAGGCTTCTTCCCAGGAGCCAGGAAGAAACTTACAGGTTTGATTATGCACAACTTTGTAACCTTGATGTGCCAGGAGTCACCACCGACAACATTAAAGTATAAGAAACTTACTATAAGGAAATAGTTCTGCCACCTCTAAAAGATGAAAGATTAATATCCATAACCAGTAAGGAGTGTCTACAAGTCATTGCGAAAAACAACCAAGTGAAAAGTAGTCAGACAGATGAGCAGAGACAGGTGGACACACTAGCATCACCTTAAACCTGCTTCCTGCCAGGCGTGATGACACACATCTGTAATCCTAGCACTCAGTAGGCTGAGGCAGGAGGATCGCCAAGAGTTTGGCACCAGCCTGAGTTCAAGGCCAGCCAGCCTGTACTATATAGCAAGACCCTGTTTCAAAAACTCAAATTAAATAAGTTAATTAATTAATTAATTTTAAAAACCCAAAACACAAAAACCTCTGCTTCCAGCTGATCCAAATACTCTGGCAGTGCTCTGCAGCTTTCAGCACAGAGGTCCTGTATGTCTTTTGTGAAGTTTCTCTGCTGAGAGACAGAGGTCCAGCATGGCACAAAGCTGCCTGGCCTGTCACTGCTGTCTGCGGCCAAATCGATCACATCCTGTTCGGTTCTGGGCCGTGGCAGAAAGGACAGGCACGCACCTACTAAGACGCACCCCCGTCCTCCCTAGAAAACAGGCCTGACTGGAGGTGTCTCTTCCCACGAGACTAAATAGCAGAGAAGGCACCCGAGTCCCGGCCGCTCTGGAAGTATCACCTTGGTCCTGGCCCACTCACACTGTAGCCCTTAGTGCCAGGAGGCAGACACTGATCTTGTCTTAAGCCATTATCCTGTTGGGCCTTGGTCACCATGGATAATTTCATCTCCTCTTCACACACAGGCGGTATCTATGGAATCAGACATGCTGGGCTGGGGACACAGCTCGGCAGCAGGGTGCTGCCCTCGCACGCATAAGGCTGTGGACCTGACCCCCAGCTCGGCAAAAGGAAAAGAAAAGGGGAAGAAACACACGAGGTCCTGGAGCCAGCCCCTCTGCTCCTGCGTCCCGGACCTGGCCTGGCCTGTGCTTCACAGGGCAAAGCGACAGAGGGATGACCCAGCGGCAGGGGGGTGGGGGGGCACAGTCCTGCCATATGACAGGCAGGGTAGCGCCTACGAGTGAGTCAGCGTGGATAGTGTGACAAGACCTCAAAGACACATTACAGTGGGTAAGAGAGGAAGCTGCAGGAAAAATATTTATAGCGTGATCCTAGCTAAAAGAAAATGCACATATGCACATGCATATGTATGTAATTCAGGATGGCAAGGTGATGCGCTGTTAACAGTGGTGAAGTAACTTACTTCTTTATCTTTTTTTTTTTTTGTTTTTCTCCAGTACTGGGAATTGAACTCACAACCTTGTGCTTGCCAAGCAGGCACTGTGCCGCTGAGCTAAATCCCCAGCCCCTTTCTTGTTTTTGTTTTTTTGGGTTTTTTTGGTATTTCTTTATCTTTTGAAGTAAAGTCTTTGTATACTACTTGTGTGATAGTTTTTTGAGTAACACATTCTAGAGGTTTTCTGTAGTTAAAAAAAAAAAGGCAGAAAATTACACATAGTATGACCAACAGGAAGCCACGTTCAAACATTTTGGTGTATTTCCTTCCAGCTCTTTTCTGAGTCTTTTACATAGTTAATGTAAAATTTAGTTAGCATTTATCATACGCATTTCCTTCAATATTACAAACTCCTACAGACATTTCCAATGGCCAAAGAATTTTCAATGAGGTAAGGCGTACAATTTACATCCTCTTGTTTTGAGCATTTAATTACTCGGATTTTGTAGTATGACAGTCATACTTTAGATTATTTCTTTGGGCTAAGTTCCAAGAAATGGAACGTCATCGTTACGTACTACGACATGTACTAATAAAAATTTAAAAATTCCTAAAAATGAAGTGACAGTGTCAAAGGACACATTACTCTAAAAGTACTTAACACTCATCCAGAAAACATATTCCAGAAGAACACGCATCTGCTGGATTTCCACGAGGACTCTCATTAAATCATACAGACTCCGTGAGCAGTGATCCACTCCCTAAACACTCAGCCCAAGAGCAACCATGGAAACCCAGAATCACAATGGCAGTGAGGACACTGGCGTGGTGGTGCATGCACCTGTAATCCCATACTTGGGAGGCTGAGGCAGGAGGATCACTGTGAGTTCAAGGCCAGCCTGAACAACATAGCAAGCCCCTGTCTCAAAACAAAAGCAAAACCAAAAACAATAGGCCCAGCACCTCACCAGGTACTCACACACTCCCCTCCACGGTGCTACAACCACTTTCCTTCCTGATCCATCACTGACCACTCACCACTTTCATTCAATATAGTTCTGGGAACATTAGCCAGAGCAATTAGACAAGAGAGAGAGAAAAGGAATAAGGATAGGAAAGGAAGATGTGAAATTATCATTATTTGCAGATGACATGGTACTCTACATAGAAGGCCCCCAAAACTCCACCAAAATACTTCTAGATTTAATAACCAAATTCAGTAGCATAGCTGGATATGAAGTCAACACTCAAAAATTAATAGCATTCCTGTACACTAATAAAAAAATTCACTGAGAGAGAAGTTAGGGAAACAACACCTTTCACAATGGCATCCCATAAAATGCAATGCCTAGTAATCAATCCAATGAAGGAGTAAAAGACCTCTACATTGAAAACTATAGTACTCTGAAAAAGGAGATTGAAGAGGATATCAAAAAGTGGAATGCTATCCCTTGCTCTTGGTTAGGAACAACAAATATAGTGAAAATGATCATATTTCTAAAATCGTTATACAGGTTTAATGCAATTCCAATCAAAATACCAATAGCCATACCTCACAGAACTAGACAAAACAATCCTAAAGTTCATTTGGAAGCAGAAGAGACCTAGAATACCAAAGGCAATTCTGGGGGACAAAGGCAAGGCAGGGGCATCACAATCCCTGACTTGAAATTATACTACAAAACTACTGTGATAAAAACAGCTGGTACTGGCAAAAAAAAAACCAGACCTGAGGATCGATGAAACAGATTAGAAGATGCAGAAATGGCTCCAGGTATTCTTAGCTACCATCTCTTTGACAAAGGCGCCTAACACCTTCACTGGAACAAAGTTAGCCTCCTAAATAAATGGTGCTGTAAAAACTGGCTATGCACATGCTAAAGATTAAACCTAGACCCATATCTCTCAGGCACTAAACTAACTTCAAAATGGGTCAAAGTTCCAAATATTAAAACAAAAGCACTAACTCTGCTGGAAGATGAATAGGCAGAACGCTTCAAGACGTTGGTGTAGGCAAAGACTTTATGAACAAAACCCTGATCACACAGGAAATATCATAAAGAACCAACAACTGGGATGTCATGTTATTTAAAAGCACTTGCAAAGCAAGAGAAACCACCAACAAAGTGAAGAGACAACCCACAGTATGGGAAAAAATGTTTGCCAGCTGTTCCTCAGACAAAGGACAACTATCTAGAACACATAAAGAACTGGGCTGGGGATTTAGCTCAGCTGCACAGCACCTGCCTGGCAAGCATGAGGTCCTGAGCTCAGTTTCTCGTTTCAAAAAAAAAAAAAAAAAAAAATCAACAAATAACAAATGCCAGGCAGGGGCTGTGGAGGAAAAGGAAAGCTTCTCCACTGCTGGTAGGAGCGTAGACTGCACTTTGTTGCCTGCTCTGGAG